AGATTGAATTTAGTGCAGCTTTTAAATTTTCTTCTTGCTTATCATGCAATAGTAAATTTTACCGGGCTAGTAAAGAAACAAAATTTAATATTACACAATCAAGTTCTTTACAACATGAAGTATATGCAAAATATATTCCTACAAAAGATGCAAAATATGTTACAAAATTATGAATCTACAACTTTTATTTCTGCAAAAAATGTTAGAAATCATCGATTTCTTTTTTTTTTTGATCAGCAAATTTCACATTTTTTTGCAAACCGCAATAAATAAGTTTCGTTGTAAGCAGGAAAAGAGAAATGGGCAGTTCGTCAAAATGCAACGAAAACATATACAATTCTAAAATCTGCCAATCAGATTTACTTATTCATATTTGTAATACAAACCTCAAAGGAAATTTATTATAATAAAGATGCATAAGACGTGAATGACTTCATACTACATATATTAAATCACGATTGCTAAAATTTTCTTATTAAAGATGTATCTCATATTAGACATGTAATTTAATTGTACTAGAATAATACAGTATCAGCATCTCATACACAGGCATATAGATTTAACTTTGCCAAGATTTTATTTTATCGAACAATTAGTATTTATTAATTATCCAAAGTCTGATTTTCTTTGATAAATATCCGATGTTTTAGCTATGTACAGTAAAATAATATTACGTACAATTATTAAAATTCAATTACAGAATCTCAAGATTATTAAAACTTTAACAGTCTCAAGATTCTGTACGATTTTGAGCTTGTTACATATCAAGATGATTATTTTGGTAATAAAAATTATTAGTAAAAGTTATTCAATTGTCAAAAGATTCAATAAAGTTTATAATAAATTATAACCATTACAGATATAGTGGTAAACAGAGCATTTTTATTACAAAATAAAGCAATAAAATATTTTTGCTTATGCTATATAAAAAATTTTTTCTGTTTAAATACAATAGTTTGTAAATATAAATTAAATAAAATAATTTATTAAATATATACAGTATACTGCATATATATATCTATAATATACTGTATAATGTATATATTTTAATAATAAAATTAACAAAGATTTAGGCAAATTCCCCAATAGAACGTGAAATTGTCAACCCTAATATAAATGCATCTATAAAATTACATACCGTATTCATCTAATTCATCTAAGTATTTAAATATTCAATTTAAACAAGTATATAAATATTATAAAAAATTTAATAAATATATATTCTCTATAAAGCACTAATTATCTCCGTAGCCATTTATATTAGCCTTATGATATTTCCATGCTGTAGCAACAATGTCTTCTACTGTATTATACTTTCGTTTCCAACCAAGAATCTGTTCTGCACGTGTTGACCCAGCAATCAATACCGCAGGATCACCATCTCTACGAGCTTCAACTACTTCAGGAATCGGATGACCTGTAATTTTCCTGGCAGCCTCTATTACTTCTTTAACCGTATACCCTTCGCCTGAACCTAAATTAAATTTTTGAGATTTGTTTTCTCTCACAATATACTCAAGCGCTTTTATGTGAGCAGTAGCTAGATCAGTAACATGTATATAATCTCGTACACAAGTTCCATCTTTAGTCTCATAATTATTTCCATAAATTTTAATACAATCTCTGCGACCAAGAGCAACTTGAAGAATAAGAGGTATCAAATGTGTTTCGGGATGATGATCCTCACCAATCTCACCGCTTTCGTGAGCGCCACAAGCATTAAAATATCTAAGACAAACATATTTTAAACCATGAGCATTTTCTGTCCAAGCAAGAATTTTTTCAACGGTAAGTTTTGTGTCACCATATGGATTTATTGGTTTCGTTGGCGCATCATCTGCTATAGGAGTTTCTTCTGGATTTCCAAAAATGGCAGCGGTAGAAGAAAAAATAAAATATTTAACATTATGCTTTTGCATCGCTTGTAACAAATAAATGGTTCCAACGACATTATTCTCATAATATCCCAGGGGATCGGTGACGCTCTCTCCTACAGCAATTGAAGCGCAAAAGTGCATTACGGCATCAGGCTTATGCTTAGAGAATACTTGTTCAAGAGCTTCTTTATCACAAATATCTGCTTTTTCAAAAGCGATCCCTTTTGTTATTGCCTTTAAATGTCCCTTCGAAAGATTGTCTAGAACAATGATTTCATAACCCGGTTGAGTTGAAAGTTCCCGAACGAGATGAGAGCCGATGTACCCAGCTCCTCCACAAATGAGAACTTTCATTATCCTAAATAGCTTTAAAATTCCATAAGCTACGCGTTAGACGTGTTTATTATTTCAAAAATTAATATGAATAACTTACTTTTAAAAATAAATAGTCAGAGAAAAAAAAAAGATTTCAATATCAGTACTGTATTTCAGAGAGAAACCTTATTAGATGTTTATAATATATCAGATATATGTTGTGCCTCAAATAGTTACCAAAAATGGATATTTAGTATTTTAAAATTTTTATCAATTGATATCGAGCGATATTAACTTTAATTTGTCATAAAGATGTCCAAACGAAATTCAAAGCCCCAAAGTAATGCAGAACGATTAGAACAGCTTAGAACGAGGGTAATGATTGAGAAGGAAGGAGTAGGAAGTGTATGTACGCGAATGACGTTATAATTTCAACTTTTCGTGGCGGCAACATATTTTAACTTTAATTTATCAAGATTTCTTCAAGTGAATTTCCTTATCATAGTTCGAATCGTCACCAAGATATTGATTACATTAAAGAATTCATAAAGGTGGCTCAAACTTTTTATAAATTATCAAATTTTATAATTGATCTGGTAGCCGCTTTATTTCTTATTTGCTATATACTGAATGGTAGAGATTCAGAGTTAAAATTATCAGAAAAGAACAATATGACATGGAGTTTGATTTAATTGGGGTCGATACTGCAATAGCAAATGCGTTAAGGCGTATTATGATCGCTGAGGTTATAAAAATTTTTATCAGTTAAAAGATTTAGATTCAATGCAATCCTAGACATAAGCTGATTTTATTATATTTAAAAAGGTACCCACAATAGCGATAGAGAAAGTTTACATTTATAATAATACTTCAATTGTACAAGATGAAGTACTCGCACATCGATTAGGTTTAATACCTATAAAAGCTGATCCTGATAGATTCTATTTCAAACATGGTATTTATTTCGTTTATTTCATCTATTAAACTTTATGATTTATTTTCTCTTTCTTTTTTATTTAGCTAATGAATCACCAACAGATATGAACACGATCGTATTTAAAATTGAACATGAATGTACGTTCAATCCTAAGGCTCGAGAAGGTGAAACAGATCCACAAAAGCTATATATAGGCCACAACCGTAAGTTATCACTCATAGCAATAATTCATTTTTATGAAAATAAATTAAGCTAATTAATGTATCTTTTTTGTTTTAATTAGTTTTATCTGATTCTTTAATTTGGATTCCAAAAGGGGACCAAGAAGAACAATATGCAAGTTGCCCCATCAGACCAGTTCATAATGATATTTTAATTGCGCAAATGAGACCAGGCCAGGTATGGATTTTGATTAATAATTATGATCTGTGATTTGCTCCAAGGGTTTCATGATGTAAATAGAAAAATTTTTATTTCATAGAAAATAAAGTTAGAAGCTCATTGTGAAAAAGGGATTGGAAAAGACCATGCAAAATGGTCACCAGTTGGTAAAATACTCGTTTAATGGGAAGTAAATTTTTAGAAGTCCCACTATTATATTGAAACTATTATTCGGTTTTAGCAACTGCATCATACCGACTGATGCCAGAAATAATTTTAAAAAACGAAATCACCGGAGACTTGGCAGATAAATTTGCCGCTTGCTTCACTAAGGGAGTTGTCGAAGTAGAAAATAGAGATGGTGAGAATGAAATGCCTAATTTTATAAATATTATATAATAACTCGTAATTTTTTAACACTTCTGGTCAATTCGTATGTAGTCGGTGATCAATTTGTCAAATATGCTAAAGTGGTAAATCCACGAATTGATATGGTCAGCCGAGAAGCTTTGCGCCACAAAGAATTTGAAGACATAGTTCAACTTACACGAATACGTGATCATTTTATTTGTAACTATTCCGATAAATTATTATTTTATGCTTTAGTCATAAATTCATAAATAATTATTTTCTAACTTGATAAACTTTTTAATATTTATATAGTTAACGTTGAATCTACCGGCATTATGGATTCTGAAAAGATTTTTATTGATTCTGTGCATATTTTACAAGCGAAATGTAAACGGCTTTTAACCGCATTAGAACATAAATTGAGAGAACAAGAAAGAGATCACGATCAGATGGATATATACTAATGCGAAATACCGAAAGTACAGTAGTATGCGGAGACACATAATTACAAATGTTTCTATTGATTATAGCCATACGACGATTTTAGGTTTTTCATCCTTTTGGATATACGTAGCTTTTACGTTAGGTTGAGTTGTAATCTTTTGCCGCACTATACTAGATTTTTGTGATTGTTCTTTGATCAAATAATTAAAATAAATTTCAGCAATAATTGTTGCGATTAATGTGTATAAACATACTTAATATATTACCTGCATCGTCAATATTTTCACCGCGTTTCAGTCTTTCAATCATATCCTCAAGTTTTGAAACTTTAAAATCCATTTTTTCCTTGTATTCTCGATATTCATTTTTTGTCCATAGCAGATGTATAGCTGCGGATCCAAAAGTTGCCCATACCGCATATTGGTAAATGAATGGTTTGTACATGGATTGAATCAAAGTTTTTTAGTGTTCTATTTGCATGTCGATCAGGCTAGCAAAAAATAAATATATGCTACAAATATTATGTAAGATAATTAATCCATAAAAAGGCAGATTTACAATTAATACTGTACATGTCGAGTTAAGCTTTCTAAATGAATAATTGAACGTTGTTTCTTATTTAATGACTTGGCGTTTTTATCAAGCCAAAAGTGAATACATATGTTTATTAACAAATTACTGTAAATTTATGCAAAAATTTCATAACAAAATTTAAACTAATTTTATAATATGGGGTGTGTCAGTAGAAACTAGGCAAATTGTTTTTAGTAAGTTTTTTTAAAACTTTAAATTAAAATATGGCATTAAAATAAAAAAATTTTTATCAAGTTTGGTTTAATAGTTGTTGAGATATTTTAATTTGGGAACTCTTAATGCCACCCACTGCAGAATTAACTTTTTTTTTAAACTTTGAGCGAATATATCTCAACACCCACCAAGCCAAATTCGATAAATTTTTTTTCTTTGAATTCTATAGATTTGTAGAATTCAAA